GCATCTTTTAAGGCTGATTTCGTTGCCATTTCCCAATTTTTTTCGCTTTCCACCAGGTAGCCCGGTAATTCCTGGGCGCAGAATTCACTGGCAAGTGCCCCCCCGTGGCCATCGAAACAAGCGTACAAGCTCGCATCCTCCCTGCCGCCCAAGCGGCCTCGGAAGCTGAGCCGGTCCTCCATGTACTGGCGGCCCCCGGTTTCGGCCCAATGGGAGCAAGGGAGGTGCACTTGATTGGGTTGTCTTTCCACATCCGTCGGGCTTGAGGAGTACGGGACCGGATGCCCGGCAGTGGAGGACAGCGGGCTCGCTTTTGCCCCGCATGCACCCGCCAAGTACCAGCTTCGCCAGCCCCCGCTCAGGCGAGGAACGGTCGGTGCGCCAGACATGGCGGGATTGGATCGGAGGAAGAGGGAATGCACCAGGGTGAAGAGGATGCGTAAGGCGACGTAGAGAATGGCAAAGCATAGGAGCAAGCCCAAGACGTGCGATCCGAACGGAAGTGAGGGCGCGTCTGGTATTGTAGACGCGGAGAGGGAGGGAGATCCCTGGTGCGCCCCCATACTCCTAGAGTGGATGAATTTGTGGTTGAGATGTAAGAGAATCTGCGCTAGGATGGGATTAAAATCCCGCACGGCCCTTGTAAAAAGTAATTTGCCCCCCGAAGAAGAAGGGGAAAACTGTTGGTGCGTGCAGAAAAGCACCGTTGCCTGTTTGGATGATTTATCATGGTCTTCCGGAGCCTAACCCTGCCAGACGCAACTTCACCTTCCTGAGCTTACCTAAAAATCTGCCTTCCGCAGAGAGATCCTCTCTGGCTAATCACGTCCACGCGATCAGATTGATTGCAGGAACAGAACCCATGCTCGCTATCCTGTAGCCCTGTCCATGATTAGAAGCGTACGTGTAAGCACGCGTGTCCGTCTCGGTCCATTACCATCCTTGCATGGCCCAGGGGGGTGCTTGTTGAGGTTGGCTTCAGGCTTGTCTCTCGCTTCTCGCGATTTTCGTGCCAACCCCTGGGACCCTCCCCCGTGGGGTTCTAGGAGAAATTTCCATGGAAAAGCGTGGATGCAAGGCAAAAGATGCCTCGCAGGTTGGTAACGTGGGGAGAAATGTGCCGACCGCGAAGGTTGTGGAAAGTGAAGGGCGTTGATGGGTTTTTTCCAAGCTGTGTCATATCGGTCTTCTCGTGCCGCGTCGGGAGATCTGATCGCTTGCACAGCGACCTTAGCAAGTATTCCTGTTTCTGAAAATCAAAAATCGCTCGCGAAATGGCAAAGCCTTACCCCATTCCTACATCAATGTGAGGAAATTATGTCTATGGTTGGATTGATTTTCATGTTGTAGCAAACGTGGCGCTTATCGGTGGTATAGGATCCCCCCAACCAGCCTCCTCATCTCCTTGACCTGAGTGGGCCTGAGAAATAGCAGTCGTTTTTTTTTTCCCCAAACCACTGTCCAAGTTTTACATGGCAAGGATGACTAACTCGCGTATCTTTTTCACCGAAATTGAGGGGTGTAAGCCAAGTACTTTCGACCACATGCTACCTGGGAGCGCGTCATACTTACCTTGGACCACCCTGATTTTCCCTCCATTTTTCTTTTTAGGACCAGTCCGGCCCCTTCCCCCCCTTTTGTCATGCCACGGACAAGTCCATACCGTACTCGTGGCGGTCGCGTCGTCAAAAGCACTGCCAACGTCAGTAGCGGCGACGGCAGCATCACCTCGACGACCAAGCCTCGTGCCAGCAGCCGGCGTGCGACCATTGCCGGCCCCCTTGCCTCGCCTGTCACCAAGAGAAGCCCTGCGCCCTCCACTCCCACGTATGAGAGTCCAAGCACCAGCAAAAAGCAAAGCAGCGCGCGTAAAAGTGCGGGTGGAAGTCGCAGCAAGGGAAGCGTGAGCAAATGGGCCGTCCTTTTTTACGCTCCGAACGTGATCGGCTATGTCCGTGTGGCCGTTACCCTCTATGCCTTCTACCTCGGTGTGCAGCGTAAGAGCGACTGGAGGTCTGTGGTGAGCCTGTACTTCCTCGCGTTTGCTTTGGATGCAGTGGACGGCTACGTGGCGCGCATGTGCGGCCAAGAAAGTGGTTTCGGGGGCGTGCTGGACATGGTCACGGATCGAACCGCTACCGCTGGTTTGGTCATGTTGAACTTGGTAGTAGAGGGAGATGAGCTCCGGAAATTCGGGTGGATATGCCTGTGTATGCTGGATATTGGCTCGCACTGGTTCCATTGCGTGGCTGCCGCGGGTGCTCATCACAAGTCGGAGGAGGCGACCGCCGGGAAGAACGCAGTCTTGCGCTGGTACTACGCGTGCAAGCCTCTCTTCTTCGCCTGCTGTCTGGGTCAAGAGGCCTTTTACCTGATCAACTACATCCAGAGAAAAGGAGGGAAGTTCGGGGGGATCGCCATGCCCTCGTGGGTGCCGAGGGAAGTGGAAGAGCTTCTCCCCACCACAGTGGAGGGCTGGCTCGCGTCGATCACCCTGGTCTTTGCCACCATCAAGCAGGTCGTCAACGTCGTTCAGCTGGCCTCTGCAGCTGTGACACTGGCGGAAGCAGATGTACAAAAGAAGAAGCTGAAGGCGAGTAAGAAATAACAAAGGAGGGAAAGTCAGACGCAGAGTTTTGGATCGGAAATGAGACCCGGAAGTACAAGTAAGATACAACCGAAGGACAAACAAGACGGCAGAATGTAAAACAGCACCATTGGAAACACAACCCTATGGTTTACATAGAAGCTCAATTGATGGAGAGAAAGAGATTATCAAATCGAGGTAACGGATATTTAAAGCGACTGAGTGACCGTTACGAAGGATATTTTCTACACACAGGCGCTTTCATCCGCCGGATTTTTTCAATACAGAACAGTTCAATTAAACTGAAAATCACGTGTTAAAATATCTGCAGGACTCGACTGTGTTGTCGGTATCTTTTCGATGCATTTTTGGTTTTATATGGGATGCTTCTTTTAAGTACCTTCGGTTCCTCCCTCCCTGTCTTCTTCTCCCTTGGTAGCAAATATGCTACCTCCTCCCCCTGCTTTCACAAAGCGCTCCTCCCTATCGTGTCTTTCCAAAACTTTAAGGTCTTCTTCTGTGGGGCCTTGGGGGCAAATTCCTGAGGGATTCAGGGGGAAGAGCTTCCGAGTGAAGGGGGAGGGGAGAGGATGACGACGTGAGAATCAGGTGGAGACACCCCTGTCCCTTCCTCCCTCCACCTCTCAGGCCTCTCATTTTTTTCTTGTGGATACTCCCTCAGCCTCCCCTCCGGATCAATTTGCCTCCTACCTGGACGAAATAGCTTCGTATCAGCGCTGGTATATCTACCGTGGTCCGCACCCCTGGGATTTGATATACCTCCCTCATCCACTGCGTCAAATTCGGGTAGTCCGCAATTCGCTTCCCGGCACATTTGAATAGGGATGCATACACCGCGTCAAACCTGATAACGGTGGGGAACAAGCGGACCTGCACAGCCGGAGGTCCGGGAAGGGGAAAGCAGGGGGAGGAAGGGGCAAATGAATGGATGAAAGACACGTCCGTAATGCATTTCATAGAAGTGCTGGAATTAAACGTGCGGAGATGCTGGAGCGACAGACAACCTGAAAATCCTCCTCTTCGCGCGTCGCCCCCCCCCTTGCCCTCTTCCCCCCTCCTCACATCGGCTTCCGTGAGGACATCTCCCGCCAAAAATCGCTGGTCCGTCAAGATCGCTTCCACGCTCTCCAGGCCCCGGAAGACGTCTCGGACGCTCCGGTCGTAGGCAGCTTGGGAGGTGGCAAAGCCACAGCGGTAGACACCGTTGTTGATGAGCGGGTACACCCAGGCGTTGATCTCCAGGATGCGAGGCCGCAGGGAGGGCGGGAAGAGATCCACGTCAGGGTGAGTCTGTCCCGGGGGGGGAGGGAAGAGGTTGAGGAAGCGGAGGAGGTCGCTGCTTTCGTTGTTGACGATCCGGCGGCGTTTAACGTCCACCAGGACGGGCGCCGTGCACCGGCCGGTGTAGCCCGGGGCGCAGAGGTCGTACACCTCCCTCAAGTCGCGGCACCCAAAGACGGGGTCGGCGAATGGAGCTCCCGCCTCCCCTCCGCCGCCTTCTCCCATCGTGTCGAAGGCCCAGCCCCCCCGGGAGGCTCTCTCGGGGTCGTCGATCGCGTAGGAGTAGGAAAGTTGGGATTGGGAGAGGCCGCGCAGGGCGTGGGCGAGGGTGAGTCGGTGGCACCAGGGGCAGGCGTTACCCACATAAAGATGGTAGCGGCCTTCTTCCAGGGGAAAAGCGGGGGAGCCCAGCGAGTCCGTGAAGGAGTACGTCGGGCGGACATATTCACCGTCTTTGCCTTGAGGGGCGAGCTCGGTCATCAGGATCTGGCGCGGGAGGGAAAGAGGGAGGGGAAGAGGGAGGGAAAGAGGGAAAAGAGAGACCACGGAAAAGCGGTGGACAGAGCCTCTCATCAAACGAGAAGGACAAGGTACAGGTGGGAGGGAAGCTGGTGAAAGGAGGGAGAGGGTGGGACATGAATTTATGTACAAATATAACGAGGTGGAGCGGAGCGAGGGGACAAAGTGCACCTTCCAGAGCATGTTCCAAGAGGTCCGCGCCGTCTTGACCAGAGCCTTCTGGGAAATGAGGCCGTTCGTCCATTCCAGAAGGCGAAGGCCTTTGTAGGAGGGAGGAGGAGGAGGAGGCGAGGGGGGAGGGGCGGGGGAGAGGGAGAGCAGGCGACGACGTGGGAAAGGGCTGGACGGCAGGGTGAAGGGGGTGGTAGGACGAGGGGAAGGGAGGAGGAGGAGGAGGAGGAGGGAGGAAGGGAGGAGCCGAAAGAAGGAGCGCATCTCTGTGCGGGATGGAAAAAGAGAGGGAGAAATGAACGTGGCAAGTAGGTGAGGGGAGGACAGGACAGAGGTAATCTATAGACGAGAGCTGGCGCGCAGAGGAAAGCAACGAGTGCTCTCGTGAGAACATGCGCCGCACCAGCCAAACTTCGCTTCGCTTCGTCTCCAACGCCAGGCACACGCTTGACGGTCCTTATTTCCTCGCTTCGCCGCGGGCCACCTTCTGGCATTCCTCCTCCTGTCTTACCCTCCCTTCCTCCCCCTCTCCCCCCTCCGCCGAGCTCCTAAGTTCAACTTTAAATACATCGATCCACTCCGTAAGCTGCCCAGCCCGGGGGCTAAGCGTCATAAGCTCTCCCCATCCCCAAGACAAGGAGGGAATATCGTATCGTATAGCCGGGCGGGACCCTACTTGCCCTCCACAATGGCTTACTCCCTCCGGCCATCGGGGCGGACGCATGACAAACAATGACCGTAAGGGAGGGAGAAACCTCCCTCCCAGACCTCCTACTCCATTACGATTCCTTATATTTCTCTCCCTGGCGGCCCTTCTCCTTCCCTCGTCATCCCGTTTGCGTGTGATGATTCGGGAGGGCCATAGGCAGCACGCCCTCCACTTGTCGCCTTTTCACACCTCCCACCCTCTCACGTCCCTCCTATCCCATCACGTCCTCGCTCCTAAACCCTAACCCCCTCCACCAGACTTCCTTCCTCCCCTCCCTCCCTTCTTCCCTCCCTAATCCTCCGGGGCAATCGTGACGAAAGTGGCAGACTTCCTTCCTCCCCTCCCTCCCTTCTTCCCTCCCTAATCCTCCGGGGCAATCGTGACGAAAGTGGCCTCGTTGGCAAGGCCGCATGTGTTGTTCTTCGAAGAGAGGAGGATGTGCCCGTCCTCGCCCCACAACGTCGACCAGGAGTTCCGGACCTGAGGAGGGAGAAAGGGTTAGGGTAAGGGTTAGGGTTAAAGGAAAGGGGGAGGGAAGGGAGGGAGCCTTGGCCGGAGCGGTAGGACATTGGATGGCGAGGACGGGGGCAGGGAGTGCTCACCACAAAGTAGGGTTCGGGTGCCTCGTCGTTGTAGCCCACGATGTTCACACAATGGTCGAGGGCGTCGTAAGCAAAGCTGCCACACGCCTCTGTCATGAGCACACCCTGCAGGAAAGGGCGGGAGG